GAGTATTTCTAACACATCTTAAATCTTTGAACTGCCGTTAATGAAAAATAAATTAATTGTCTAATTAAAATATATCAATTATATTATAATTAGACAATTGTAAATAACAGTACACTTAGTCCCACTTTGCACGGTTTTCGTTCTTTGAATGACAGCGAATTCCTAAAAATAGAACTTGAAAGAGCAAGGAGAAGGTAATTAGCAACACTGCAGATGGTTAGAATTTTGAATAATAATTATTGCTGTAAAATATATTATGTATTTATATTGTTTTCATTACCAGAGTATCATCTCCCTTTTTTTAAGTATAACCTACGTATCTAACAAAATGTATTTTATTAAATTTGATATAAACATAATTCTTTGGAGCCTATCACGTATTATATTGAAAAATTCACCTTGGTTTCTAAGAAAAGCAATGATTTTTTTAATTCATCTATTTTATAGCATCGTTACCTACACATTTTTGCCATCTGGAGAAAAGATTATTTATGTCTTCGCAATAGAATTCTGGGCATCTGAACCCCAGCTTCAGTTTCAGTTTCCCTCTGTCGAATCTTACGACACCCACGGGATGATATGGGATAGTGGATATTCTTACACCTCCACCACACGGTGACTAACAACAATTTTTTTCCCTGCAGGAAATTATTCAAATCGCGAAAAAAGAAAGGTAATCTATTGTGGCTACATCTGGCAAGTACGAAGGATGATGTCTGATTTCTAACTACAGATCTCGTAATATTAAAACGAGCAGCATAAGGTTTTGGTTTATCATGAAGCTATAATGGCAAAATGCGATTGGCGAGTCGGGGTTGTTTATTTGAGAGTTTCACCAACATTGTTCGATGTTTTTCGCATTAGACTACTGTTATTGATACAACGGATATCAAAAAGACACCACTAAATGACCACCAAACAGTTGCCATTTCTTTTCTATGGGTGAGCATGGCTTTAGGGCATTATCCTGAGATTAGCAATTAATTTTTTCGCTTTCGACTATCGCAGAGAATCCACTTTTAATTACACGTCACAATTCTGTCCTAAATCCCTTCATTTCTCTACGTACTCATTAACACAAGGCAAGCTTTAATATGTGCTGCTCTATTAGCATCAATTAATTCACGAGGCACCCATTTTTATATTTTTATTTTACCAATTTGGTGCAAATGGTAATTGAAAATTGGTCAGTCAATATTGTAGTTAAACTAGGGTTATACTATGACGCTAATTCCTTGGTTGTTTGATAAGGATTAGCTTCCACCTTTACTATTAAATTCATCATTTATCTACCTTTATTTCTGGTCTTAGTCGTGGTTTATTCTACAAGTCGAAGTTTTCACTACGAAAACGATAAAATCAAAAACGCACAGTGCGATCGTTAGTGGTATCCTCTTCAAACGCAACATTGATATTGCGAGATGTCCCTGCTGCGTTAGATTCCCGTCGGACTCGTATTCAAATAATACTCTAATTTTTGGGGTCACCATGTTTAACTCAAACCCTAATGATAAAATAAAAAAATAAAATTATAGAATTTTATAGAATGCTTGCATTTAAGATCCCGAATCTTGGAGCATGCAAGTTTTATTATATTTTTAATTTTAGTTCAAAGTAGCCACTTCATTAAAACGACAACATTAAATTACTCGTATATTATTACAATACAGGTTTTCGACGCTATTTTAAGAAGTTATAAATTGGTTTTAATTTATTTAATATGTATATGTAGTGAATTTCTTTAAAAATGTATTAATTTAATAAAAATATTTAAGAAAAATCTTAGGTATGCAGAGAATACAGATTTTGCAGCAGTTTTTAATGTTCTCCAATTTTTATTGCCAAATAAATGCTTATAATCTTCTAAATTTTGTATAAGTTATTTTTTCGTAATATCATAGCAAAGGGGGTGATGGCCAAGCTCCAGACGCAGGCTTACGAGGATGTCACTTAAGGAAAATTTAAACGATGCCAACGATAAAATTCTAAAAAATATAATAATTAGCTATGACTGAATACTTTTGTTTAAAATATTATGAACACTTTAGTATACAAAATTCTGAGATAATCTTCACAAAATATATTATAATTTAAAATGATACATATTCGATATTTTATAATGACTATCCAGTCAGTCCACGTGCGGTAAAGATTCTAAAGGAACTGTTTCCGCGATTGGTCGTCGCTAAAGGTGATACTTTTCTCGCTAAAAGGCTAAGTATAGCCATTCAGCGAAGAAACTCCGCCAGCGTTATTGGCACGATATTACGGGAAGTAGGACTGTATAATAATTTAAATTTTTAGTTTTAGTTTTTCTTTATAGTTTTTTAATATTGTGGGTAACCTTTTAGTTAAATTTAATTAAGTATGTAAACATTTAAAATTCATTTTTTAATAATATACAAATATATAGAAGACTTTATACATTTCAAGTTATATTATGATCTATTTTGTCTTATATAATTTGTATATTGAGATAATAAAAATTATAAATCAACATTCATTATTCAACGTTTTCTTAAGTTGTCAGTTGGAAGGAAACGTTTTACTTACAACGTGTAGCAAGGGTTGTCGTTTAGTCGCGTAAGAGAATACACTAACCCATATCATCCGTGGGAGTCGCAAGAGGCGGCAGAGAGAAATGAACAGGAGATGGAAAGCAGCATCTTTCTGATAACAGCACAAAATAATTGAAAAAACTGCGCTTTCTAACCCGTCTTCCTATGAAGTGTGAAGTGTAATTATCTCCATATGCAAGTTATGCAGGGGCTGGAAGACGTTTAAAAATACTAATTTATTAATCAAAAGATGTTTAATCGGCTAACAGAATTCGCTTAAAAGTAACTTAAAAATCTATGCTTAAAATAATTGCATGAGAGCCCACGCAGAAACTCGGCAGTTTCTGTTTGTCCACTCAGCATCTGCATATGATCTGCATTCAGAACATTCTGCTGACGTGGACATCTTGGTAGGTCTCTCCCGTAACAATCTAGTGTCTCTAATATTTGAGTCATACGTTCGGGTAAGCTATGATGAACAATGAATAAACGTATACCAATTAGTTGTTTTCGATAACTATTTATTGCATCCTTGATCCGTATGTTACTATGTACGTATTTCCACAAACCTTCAGACGTCTGAACGAAATTCTGCTTACGTATTAAAACCGGCAACAAATTCCATGGCTATGATCTAGCAATCTCTCTAGGACCATCACATCTCATAATTAATATGTGATATTTAAGTGTTTTCAAACTCTTATTTTTTGTGAATATTTACTTCATTTAATTTTAAAATTTGTTATGGTAAATTTTATTATTATTACTCTGTTGTTTAAATCACAGTAATATAAATAACATAGAGAGGGAAAATATGATAATTTTTTTATCAAACCACTAAAAATATCAACATAATATCATAAGAGCTCTTTATGATCGAATATTTTAACACATTTTGAAGCCTAGACGAAAAAGAGGTGTGTTATATGTCAAGCTTGTGTATCCGTGTATATGTGTGTCTGTGTATCTGTGTATATGTGTGTCTGTGTATCTGTGTGTCTGTGTATCTGTGTGTCTGTGTATATGTGTGTCTGTGTATCTGTGTGTCTGTGTATCTGTTTGTCTGTGTATCTGTGTGTCTGTGTATCTGTGTGTCAATCTGTGGCATCGTAGCTCCCAAACGAATGAATCGATTTAGATTTAGTTTTTGTTTTTGTTTGAAAGTTTATTTGATCAAAATTATTCTTAGTTATGATTTTTCAGCAGTTTGAAGATTATCAGCTCCTCTTGTTTCGGGGATTTCTACAAATTTTAATTTAACTTATTTGTTTTAAAAGACATCATTTAAACCGAAAAGTATGTTACAAGGCCAAAATGTGATTAAATTACTAATATCTGTTTAGAACGAAAAGAAACCTTTAAACAAAACTATTTTAAAATGTGATTTGTTTAACAAATATCGAAATCATAATATAATATCTTAAATTATTTTATTCACAACATTCAAACAATTGCACAATACAATCTTCAGAAGAGTTCTGTGGTCAGCAAGGTCATAATGATTATGATGACGATTGATGAGGAATACGGAAATAAAAACCAGCAACTAATTTCATTATGTAAAGTATATATTTCTACTAATTAAACCCCTGGGAATGAGGTGATCGCTGCTGTTTCTAAATGCTTGCATACTTAATTGTATAAAATATTATATTATAATTTTTTTAATGTCCCGCTGGGCTTCTAGCTGGTTCTTTTCAGGACGGAGGGGTTTTTCCGGACCAGTGGTAAAGCTTAAACGACTTTCAGTAAGTATTCTTGCAATCATTGAGTAAAAATTCTATTCTATTCTATTTTATAAAGCTTATAACATTATAAAAAGAGCTGTTGTTTTAATTATCTATGTCAAACAGCTCTAACAGTCATTAAAATCTCATAAAGATTTATATAATGTTTTGCGTTCAAACATCAGTATCATAAAATGCAAAAAAGAAAAGAAAATATAAATATAGTATCATATTGTTGCTATATTAAAAAAATAACACATTTTAAATTCGTAAATGTGCGCAATTCCTTCACTGTTTTTTTTTTTAATATTAAAATATTCATTCATTAATTCAAAGTAGCCTGTATAAGTGCACAGCTGAACATAGGCCTATGTTTTGCCCCAAAATGGAGCGTGACCTGCCCATTGGGAAGATTTTGCCACAGTTGCTACTCTTGGCATGCAGTATTTTATTATTTTGAGTCGTTATTGGAAAATTCTGCTACCCATCTCCTGTTTCATTTTCCGTGGATATTCTTACACCGCCACGGTTAATAATAAAATATTAATTAACCTGTATTGTTAAAACCTTCTTTAGATTATCATTTTCACACTTTTTTATTTTAATTTGTTGTTAGAAAGTTATCCAATCGTTAGAACTTCGATAAAAATTGACATCCATGTAGTACTGCTTTTACTTTAAGAGTATTTACGTAAAATAGTTGTAAATTACTTACTTTACAAAAACAAATAAATTCAATGTATTTGTTACACCGATAACACTCAAAGAGTCATCGCAAAGCACTAAAATTTAGTAGGTATAACTTTCATTTTTAAAATTTATTGCTATACGAATATAGAATATTTGCGCGATCAAACCCAGCGGGCACTTGAACGCCATTCGGACGGCGTGTTACGCCTAAGCCGCACTCATAGTGACTGGGTAACGTACTCGTAGCGCCTCAATTGAAAGGTCCGCCTAAAACCGAACAAGCGCTCCGTTACGAAAAGCCACCTTGTATGCTCAGGGCTTATTCGCTCGGAGGGTGAGATGCCTATAACAACTTTCTAACGAACTAACTTACTTAATTTCAACTGATGCTCGGCCACGTTGAATGATATATCAGTTTTATTAGAAGACGGCTCACGTCGGTCTGTGAAGTTCAGAGACCAAAGGCTCTTAATAATATTTTCACAGCTGTTAATAAGTACCTAGCTTAATAGACAGCTTAAATATAAGCGGTTTTCTTACAAAACGTAAAAGAAAGTCTTAATCATGAAATAAATCTTCGCGAACTTAGACATTTATCAAGTTTCATACTTTAGATTTTAGTTCGCAAATTTTCCATGAGACTTTAATTCATAGACTCTAATTTAAATCTGTGATTAGTAAATATAAACTACTTTTTCTAGTAAGATGGAATGATTCGGAGTTGCTGACTTATATTTGTGTATATAAATCAAAATAGAAAAAATAATAACTTTGGTGTCATAAAAACTAATAATTTCCTGATAAAAGTTACGAAACTACAAGCTATAATGATTTTAATTTCTCCTCGTTTATTAGTCGTAACATTTCAGTTGTATAATGATACGAATATGACGAAATGACAATGTGAAAATTATAATACACGCGAAATTGTTGGTTCGGCCAAAGCAAATCAATGTAACGAATTGCCGACAGTCGTCGACTTGTACATTTAAAATTTAAAAATCTATCTCAGTCCGATTTCAAAATTTTAAATATTTACATGAATGGAAATCTACAAAGAACATATTAACTAGCAAAGCGTTCAAGGTTTTTTTTACGATTGTTTTTATTATATTCGTTAACTAAATAGTTAGTATTTCACATCCATCGGCCTGCTGCGAGTTGCTCACAGTTGAGAGTAAGACTCTAGGAACATCGCGTTTGTCAGTCCGAAGCTTTCATTTTTCATACGGGATTTATATCCCGTATGAAAAATAGTTCTTGAGCTTGGTTGAGCTTGAGCGTGATTATCCATAAATAAAATTTCAAGAATTTTCCTTTATTAGGCAGCACAAAGCGATCATCGTGCTATGTAGTTTTTTCCATCTTCAGACCACTTCTGCTAGCCCACGCCACTGTCATTGTAGAAAGGATTGCTATAGAATCTTATTTTATTTTTTATTTGAGACTCCGTCACGGGTCGGCGTATTTTACGTTTGGCGTTAATGACATAGAATTAGCACAATCCCTCGAGAGCCATTATATACTCGAATGTTTGGCATTTTTCGTAGTCGGCTTTAACAACAACAACTAAACGAAATGGAACAATAGATTATCTTATGCCGTCACCATACGATATCGTAAGGCACATTAACCACTATAAAATATTTCATTATAATTTTAGGTACAAATGTAGCACGTTAGAATACTAATTAAAATATCAATTTGAACGCTAAGGTCTGATGGTTACACTTAGATAGTTATTTATAACAGCAACATTGTCACCTCTGAACACTAGGATTAAACGCTTCAAATATAATAATTATAATTAATTTATATGTGTTACTCTTCAAACCGGAATGAGCACAGCAGGACACGGCAGTGAATGCACTACTGATTGGTGGCAGCTTCCGATATATGGCGTTATATATAAATATTTCAATTACGTCAGACGTTGATATACGTGGTAGAGTCATGCTGCAGCTATATTATGGTTGTAGCACGAATGGGTCGGCTCGACCGGGGAAGGACCACGCTCTCACAGAATGTAAAATAGCAGCTTAACGCTGCTGTGTTTCGTATGGTGAGTGTAGAGAACCGGAGACCCTTTTTACTGGAAACGAGGTATTCCATCTTAGTCCTCACTGGTGACAACGCATCTGCAATTTGATTCGTAATCGAAGATAGATGTAGATGTCTATAAGCCACAGCAACCACTTACTTACACTTAAAAAAAAACCTGCATCCATCTACTTCCTGCATGTCTTACCAGGTCGTTACTCCACCTAGTGGAGGGTCGCCCTCACTTCGCCCGCCGGTACGAGGCTGCCACTTGAGAACCTTTTTTGCCCATCGGTTGTCGGTTCTTCGAGCTATATGGCCGGCTCATTGTCACGTCAGCTTACTAATCCGTTGGGCTATGTCAGTCACTCTAATCTCACTCATACTGACGTCCGGGATATCTTCGGAATAGTGTCGGATAAGACTTGCTCTTTTATCATTACTCACACTTGCGTGTGGCTCCAACGATGACGTGTACAGCTGCCCATAGGACCTCACGCAAAATTTCAGGTGTCCCGGAAACGATGCTGCCGGAATCGGTCTTCAGCTTCGACAGTTGGCTCTTTCTGGCAAACAGATCTCTGGCAAAGACTTTGGAGCCCTGGTTCCGCTCGATCGCTTTTTCTATACGAGCAGTACTAAAGTTGCGTAAGTCTCCGCGCATGCATTTGTAGATCTGTCTGATCAGTTGCCTGTATGCTGTCAAATCTACTGAAGAAGCAGCTTCATTTCTTATCTAACAGCCATGAGATTAAGATTGTGATCGGAGAGTTTTTGTGTTCTTCTGAAATGAAGAGTAAAGTATTTTAAATAATTAATTATTTGAAAATTGTTTATGCAAATGTAATCCTTCCATTCTTTCGTTTGCAGCCTATAAAATCATGCAAGCCAATAAATTTTTGTTAACTAAAAGAAACTTATCAAGCAAAAAGTTTATAAAGATATTTTGTAGCGCTTACCATGCATTATAAGACTTTAAACTACTGCTGAACATACACCTCTCCCACAGAGAGCTTCATATTTGAGACTATGCCATAGTTGCCACGCTTGGCATGCGGATTGGCGACCGTAGTTTTTTGTTACTTTGAGTAATATCAGTACGATATTGCTGGCCATCTCCTGTTTCAGATTCCTTTTGTCTCCTCTTATGACACTAACACGACGACATGGAGTAGTTGTTATTGTTGCACCGCCACCACTACGTGGTTAGTAAAATGTAATTGTTATATATTAGAATTTAATTTAAATGTTTGTTGTCCAGTAGTGGTTTTGAACATGTTAAAAATGTTCGAAGTCATTTAGCACATAGTTGTTTGCTCTCTTTACGAGTAAAGTTCACTTGGAAACAAAGGTTTCTCGTAAAACAATTTCGTTTAGATTTACTGTGAGCTTCGCTGGAAAACATGTGGATTTTCGAATGCATTGTACACTTGCATCGTTTGCATAGTAGTTTCGAATATTTCAGTTCATACGTTTTGGCTTTGTTGTTTTTAAGCGAGCTAACAGTCCACGTGATGGTAAGTGGCCACTGCAGCCAACGTACACTGGAAACTAATTTGGATATGAAATGGAAACTAATAAAGAAGGCTACAGGTTTGCCTTTAAGTATTATTATTGAATACATAAGGAACTGTATTAATACTAGCTGTCTATACTCTTAATAACGGAAAATAGCAGTGCGCACATTGCTGCTACGTTGCAGAAATAGGTACAGTCCGATTACCGATATAAAATTTTAAATTTCTGTTATCTGTTTGTTTTTAATTATTTTACCAAAATAAAAAATAGAATTACAAAGCATACGATTTGTTAATAAATGTATAAACGTACCATTAGTACCAATAGTAATTAATAGTGGAAACCACAGCAATAAAACCGTGTGTGGTTTCTGTTGGAGGGCTTAAAATTTAAAATTTTAGTCTATCAGTTTTTTTTTTAATATTTTGAATAAATAAATGAAAAATATATTGTCAGTTACATCATCACACTATGTGTAAATTTATGAGTAATGCAGAAATGTTCAATTCATGCAATGCCTTTTTTTTATTGGTCTGAGTGAAATACGATCATAACCTAATATTTTCGTTGCTATCCAATCGTAGACTAAAAATTATTATTTATTCTACATTTAATTTGAGCTCAGAAGCTCCTGACACAATCAATGAAATAATTGTCAATCTCAATTTTAAGTTATTTAACAAGGGTTCTGAAAGATCGTAAATATTTCAAGAATATAATATAATAACGAAATCCGCCAACTAGCATCGAGGCAACACAAACTGCGAACTAAGAATAAGAATGCCTGTACCCAGCAGTGGGACGTAGCATTTACAGCTTTCTATACTTTCTCTATTTTACTTCGATTTTACCCAAAATTCAATAAAATAACTACAGCGTAATCCTTTATGGTTTTAAAATTATTCAGAAAGAAAAAAAAAATGATAATATAAATAATACATCAGTTTTATATAAAACAAATCGCTTGGGATTTAGAGGTACAGTCAAATACGAACAGTCGCCTACTACACCCACGGCACGAAAAGTAATGGATTCTCTTTTGTTAAATTATATTTATGAAATACGTATTTTGGAATTCAACGTTTTTAACTTATAAAATTTACAATATTTCGAAAATTTCTTTTTGGTTGCTAAAGCTAAATTCTTAAAACTTAACTTACTAATAGTTTAGTTTAAGAATTCATAAGTAAAATTTTAAGAATTTAGCGCTTCAAAAAGCATTTAAATAAGTAAGAAAATGAATTACGGTAAAATCTCGTGGGTACGGTAAAAACAAGGATATGTAGATTGAAAACTGGACAACTTGGTTTTGAAATTTTTATTTTGAAGTGGAGTAGGGCACAGTTGCACAAAATTCAGCTGGGATAGGCTTAGCTCGTATGCTTGAAATAAAGTCAACATAATTTATTTCAATATTATGAACTAGATAATATGTCGCTTTACGTAGCTTTTGTGCGCAAACACACTGGTGCACTATTTCCCTTACTCTTATATTCTAATGAATTGACTGCCTCGTTGGTCTAGTGGTAGTAGTAGTGCGACTGCTGATCATGAGGATCCGGGTTCGAATCCCGAGTTGGGCCAAAAAAAATCAGTTATTGAGTTTTTCCATCAAGAAATTCTCAGTAGCTGCCCGGAGTCAGGAAGTTGGCGGTGTCTCACTTGCGTTTT